CGGGCGGGCGCGGAGCGGCGGGAGCGGAGCGGGGCCGCCGCGGCGCCGCCAAGACACGGCGGTGGATTTTCCCCGGGAGCCAGAGCGGGCGGCGGCGGCGCAAAATGGCTCCGGTGCGGCTCTGCCGCCGCCTCCCGGCGCCCCGGGACCCCCGGCGGGGGGAGCGGGGGCAGCCGCACGTGGGGACGGGGAGATGCTGCCGGCGCGGGCTCTGCCGGGATGAGTGGTACCCACCCGTGGGCATCCCCTGAGGCACCCTGCGGAGCCGGACTGGCACGGAGACAAGGGGTACCCACGCGTGGGCACTCCCCTGGATCACCCCAGCGAGCCGAGGGTGCTCCGGGACCGTCACCCACGCCTGTGCAGCGGCACACAGCCTTCCAGGGAGGGGGACAGAGTGCAGAGGCAGTCCAGGGGTACTGAGGTAGCCCTGGGGTGTCGGGATAGTCTCTGAGCGACAGAACAGCCCCAGGGTGCCAGGACAGCCCCAGGGTGCCGGGACAGCCCGGGCAGGGTGCGGCCCCCGAGGCCCAGCCTTCCCCCAGCAGACCCAGGGCCACCCGCTGCTGCCTGCCCGCTGAGCCTCTCACACCACACCCTGTAATTTGATCGTAATTATAATAATAATAATTACAGCGTGCGCGGGCAGGAAGTGCAGGAACAATAACCTGGGTAACGCCCTGCACGGTGGCGGGAGCAGCGGGGTGGCACATGCCCCATCCTGGTGCCAAGCTGAGCCCAGAACAGCTCACCAAGCCCTGCCCAGTGCGTGGGGGGAAGTGGCCCAAACAAGTGCCCTACATGTGGTTTTAAGCAGTCGTGTCCATGTCCCAGTGCAGTGGCTCAAGTGCCCAGGCTTTCCCACTGAGCAGGACACACTGGAAGAGCCATGGCCCAAACAAGTGCCCTACGTGTGGTTTTAAGCAGTCGTGTCCAGTGCAGTGGCTCAAGTGCAGTGGCTCAAGTGCCCAGGCTTTCCCACTGAGCAGGACACACTGGAAGAGCCAGAGCTGGAGCTGGGGCTGCCCCCACTCCTGGTGTGCAGACAGCTCCCCAAAAGTCCTGGTGCCCCCAGGAAGAGATCTCCAGTGCCAGAACCCACCAGGCCCAGCAGCTTCCTGCATTTCTGACACAGCTGCTCCTGCTGCATGCGGGGAGCAGAGCTCTGCCCCCTCCTTCAGCAGTTATATAAAAGGATTAAAATTTAATATGAACTTCAAAAGGGGAAGAACTGGGTGGTCGAAGGCAGCTGGCCTGGGGCCGGGTGTGGAGCAGAGGCACCTTGGGACACGTCCCAGCTCTGCTGAGCAGCAGCACTGCAGCACATGGAGACATCATCCAGCCCCAGCCATGGGGACAAAGAGTCCGGGCACCACGGGCAGCATGGGCATCCCATGAACCCACAGTGGCTTCACTGAGCCACGGTGTCCCTGGGTCACGGTGGTGCACAGCTTCCATGGCACATGGAGTCCCCGTTCCCCAGGGTCAGGCCTTGCCCTGCACCTTCACCTCTCTGCTGGCATCCAGGCAGCCCTTAATAACTGACCACCCACAGGCACAGCATCACCCACCCATCCTGGTGCCCCCTGCCACCCTGCCCATCCCATGCCAGCAGTCCCCAGGCATCACATCTCCTCCTGCCCAGTGCCTCACATCTCCTTCCATGCAGGTGGGATGGAGTGTGCTGGAGAGCAGCCCTGTGCTGGGGGAGCAAGACCCCGAGCTGGGGGGCAGCTGATGGACCCCTGCCCCCCACCATGCTCAGAACCCGCGTGGTTGCACAGCAGCAGCTCTGCTCTCCCGCCGGTGCAGCGCCGGGAGCGGGGCTGTGCTGGCAGCAGGAGCGAGCCAGGGCTGGGAAAACACCATCTTCCGCCCACACAGCCGCCCACGGCCCCGAGCCAGCTCCGCCGCCCCCGCCGCGCCGGGGCTCACGGGGCGGGGGCGGCAGGTGCGGGGTGGGGGCTGCGCCCAGCACGGCCGCCCCCCCAAGGGCAGGGCAGGGGATGGAGCAGGGAACGGGGCAGGGGGGTGGGGGCCAGCAGCCCCCGGTGCAATATCTGCCCTGGGACAGGGTCCTGCCGCAGGAGCAGGGCTGGGCTGGGGGCCAGGGCTGCGGGGGCCGGGGCTGCCCCATATCCAGCCCTCACCGGGGCACAGAAACCTCTCGGTGAGGGGCACAGGCTGGCAGCGAAGAAGCCTTTGGTTCGCTCATTTTTAATCCTGGCCAAGAGCAGGAGGGGTGCAGGCATGAGGCTTAGGGACATTGCAGGACAGGACTGGCCACGGGGCCACAAACAGCCCCCTCAGCAGCCCAGCTCATGCCATGGGGGTCTTGGATCATGCATGTCCCTGCAGGATGGAGACCCCCGGGAGACGACAGCAACCACCGAGCATCCCTCGCCGTTCTGCCTTCCCACACCCCGCTGTGGCTCAGCTCCCATTGCTGGGCGAGTTCCTCTCGCAGTGCCAGTGCCACTCTCCCAGTGCCAGTGCCACTCTCGCAGTGCCAGTGCCGCTCTCCCAGTGCCAGTGACGCCCTCCCAGTGCCTGCAATGCGGGGGGCAGGATCTGTGCTTGAGCAGGAGCTGCGGGCGCGTGGGAATGCACAGAGAGCAGAGCGGGGTGGGAGGAGGGGAGCGCACGAAGCCGGAGCTCCCCCCACGCTGCTCCCGATCCCTCACCTGGCAACAGGGACCAGGTCCCAGCGGGACTGTGGCACCGGGGCAGGCGGGGGCAGGACCCTGGTGCCCACCCCGCTAGGAGGAGGTGAAGGAGGATGCTCGGGCGGCCGGCGCTGGCCCGGGCGGGGCCGGCGGGGGCAGCGGGAAGCAGCGGCCGATCTTGCGCAGGGTCCGATGCAGGTCCGCGCGGAAACGCCGGATGGAGAAGCAGTAGATGACGGGGTCCAGGCAGCTGTTGAGGCTGAGCAGGGCCACACTCAGCGTGTGCAGCACATCCAGGGTGTCGGGGGGCCCACAGAGCGGCGCAGGGGGCCGGCTACCCACCCAGGGGGCCAGCGTCAGGTGGTAGGGGGCCACACAGACCACAAAGACCAGCAGCATCCCCAGCACCATGGCACGGGCCTGCTGCCGGTGGGAGCCTGGCGAGGCCGCGGCGGGCACCGAGAGCGCCCGGGCGATGGAGGCGTAGGTGCCCAGCACCACCAGGAAGGCGGCGGAGAAGAAAGCCACCATGGCGTAGGCATAGCCCCGCTGCCGCCCGTGCTGCTCAAAGCAGGCGGTGGTCCCGGCGTGGCTGGGGAAGGTCTGGTGGGTGGCCAGGGTGGGCACGGCACAGCCCAGCCCCAGCAGCCAGGCCAGGGCACAGGCCAGGGCGGCGCCGCGGGGCCCCGTCAGCGGCAGCAGCCGCCGCGCCGCCCGCACGGCGCAGAACCGGTTGAAGCTGATGAGAGCCATGAAGGTGATGGCGCTGTAGGTCGCCAGGTAGTAGGCGGCCCCTGCCAGGCGACAGGTGGCCTCCGAGAGTAGCCAGTCCCCCCCAGCCAGGTAGTAGTGGATCCAGAGGGGAAGGGTGAGGTTGAAGAGGATGTCAGCCAGCGTGAGGTTGATGAGGTAGATGCGGATGGCCTTCCTCACCTTGCCACTCTGCAGGAAGACCAGCAACGCCACCAGGTTGCCCGGCAGCCCCACACACAGCACCAGGCAGTAGACGACGGGCACCAGCACGAACTGCACCGGGTTGTGGGGCACGCACTGGCCGGGGTGCTCCACCAGCAGCGGTCCCGGCACCGAGCTGTTCATCCCGGGCTCCTGCAAAGATGGGGAGCAGTCAGTGGCACAACCCTTGGGGACAGGGGAGGGACGTTGACCTGGCAGGACAACCTCTCTGGCTGGCACCTGCAGTAGCTGCTGGGCACTGCAGGCAGAGCCCTGTGGGGATGCCCTAGTGTGCTGGAAGGGATCAGGTCACACAGGAGAGGAGGAGACCCCAGCTCTGTCCCCCCACACAACAAGGCCACTGTCAACTGCCCAGCTAGAGCTCGCAGGGAGTGGCAGGCACAGCTGCAGCACAGCCAAGGGACAGAGTGCAGACAGAGGCACCCGAAGGTGCCACACTGTCTCCAGTCAGCAGCTGCGGGGCTTAACACCTCCCACACAACACGTGCCTGTGGGGCCACCCACCCCAGCCCTGTCCCAGCACCCCAAATTCCCCATGGAGCCAGGCATGAGGAAGTCACTGACTGGCTCAGCAAGCTCCAGAATGGAGAAATCCAGGAATGGACAGGGGGTACAAACATGGGGCCAGCATCCCTCCACGCCCCCCAGTCCTGCACAGCGGGGTTTGCCTCTGGTCCGGGCCATGGAAAAGCATGCTGTGCTGCAGTGGCTGTATCCAGGGCTGCAGTTACTTCACCTCCCATCACTGCCTGCCCACACCTCGCCAACGAAGGCACTGAGTCACCAGCTGGTGTTTTCCAGCACAGCAGGGCTGGATTCGGCACATGCAGCACCCAGCCCTGGGTTGACATGGAGAGCACGAGCTGCTGAGCCTGGGGGACTTCATTTGGACCCCAAAGGAACCTCTGAATCCCTCAGTGGTCCCCTTTTCCTCCTCCTTCCCCATCATTAGCACAGGGAATGCTCCATCTCACCCACACCACGATTGTTACTTACCTCGTTGGGTCAGGCAGGAGCAGCTCTGTCCCCTCTGGCTGCTCCTCACTCTGATCCAGCCAGGCTGGGGACAGCTTTAAGTGCTGGGGGAGGCAGGGGCTGCCTGACCCCCACCCACCATCCCAAGCCCCCCTGTGTGTTAGTGCCTGTGGGACAGCAGCTGGAGTGGGGAGAGCACCTGTGTGTGTATGTAATGGGGAATTCCCTGCTGGAGCCACCCTAAAATCCCCTGTGCCGGCTGACAGGGCTGGGGGCATGTGGGAGTGGTCAGTGCTGGCCTGGCTGACCCCCC